CCACAGGGTCCCGGTCACGCCGGGGCCGGCTCCAAAGGACCCTTCCTCTCCTGCATTGCTCGGTTTGGGGGGGAAGGTGGGCTTAGCCTGGGGGAAGGTGCATTGCAGGTGGGTGCCAACTCCAGTCAGAGCAGCCCTGCCCAGCCAGGAGCCCCTCGAGCCACCCTGGGGTGCCTTGGTGCGGTGCCAGCCCCGTGCGGGGTGAGGCGGCGCTGGCTGGGACGTGGGCCAAGGGTGAGGTTTCCGTGGGACTGGTTGTTTCTTTGGTTTAGATGGGGGGAAATAAGAGGGAAACAAAGCAGGGAGCGGCTCCGCTCTTTGGGGTAGCGGGGAGGCTGGGGCCATCCCCCGAGCACAGCATCCTCCTGGCTCGCTCAGGCTCCCACCCATCCCGGCGTGGCCGGGAGCCCCCAGACCCTGCAACGGCGCCCGGGTCCCTGCTCACCGCTTCTCGTGTACCTTCTCAGTCCTGCCTGGCTCCTGGCAGCGGGATGCGAGGTGCAGAGGGGAGGAGATAGTGGGACCGGTGGGTTATGTACAGAATGGTGCCGGCAGGTAACGAGCAATCAGACGGTCACAGTTTGCTTTGTTGCTCCCGTGTTGCTCCAAGACCCCACGGATCCCTACAGGAGCCGCTGGCAAGGACGGACACAGTGGCAACGCGATGGTGTATTGCTGGTCCCCCGGTGCATGAGGGACGGGTGTGATCCCAGCAGGGACATGATCCAGGAGCAGGCGGTGGGTCCCGGAGTCTTGGAGGAGCTGGAAGCCGGGAAGGGCTTCGTGTTGCTGCGTGGTGGCGATGGCTCCAAGCATCTCGAGGACGCAGCAGCAGGAGGGAAGCAGAGGGCTCTGCAGAAGCCAGCGCTGTGGTACCTAAAGCGATGGTGGTTTGAGATGTGACTGCACAGACGGTGGCACCGGGGACCACGGGAGAGCTCAGGTTCGGTGTCGTCCTCCCCACCACAGCCATGCCAGCCCCACCCCAGCGGGGGAGCTGATGGTCCTTCTGAGCGTGCCCATGGGAGCAGGTCACCTCCTCCTCCTCCTGGCAGACCCTTGCCAGGGCCAGGCAGGAGCTGCTGGATGCTGCGCGCATGGCTGCTGGCAGTAATGGTGCTCCTGTCCTCCTGGCCTCCCAGACGGCTCGAAGGAGGCAAATCCTGCTTGCTGAGGCCAAGGAGCTTTTGCCTTCCCCTCAAAGCAATCCCAGTTCAGCTCCTCCAGCCCTGGCCGGGAAGGTGCTGGTGCTGACGTGCTTTTCTGGAGGAACCCCTCCAAGTTCTTCCCATTTTGCTGCAGGTGGGACCAGTCTCCCTGCAGCCGCCTCCTCTCCGTCCCCGAGGGGGTTGCTGCGTGAGGAAAAAAA